TAAAAACCATTAACCTGAGCTACAAATCTTTCCCACCATCTAAAGAGAAGTAGATTATTTTTCAATGGAATTCACAAGATATGTTTTGTTCCAATTGAATGATAACATGATAATACATACTAAAATATATTGACTATGAATAATCGAAATAAACGAACTTATAAATAATCTCAACATATTAATATACGATTGTTTGAAGTGAGATTGAAATTATCAAAGACTAGAAATTTGTCAAGATGGATTAATTAATAATTGAGAAGTATTTAAGGAATTCCTTAGACCATTCAATTAACACAAACGCATTTTCAAAGTGAATGATTGCATAATAATTAAGTGAAACATAGGTAATTAACAATTTAATTTACTTTGGTAGTGTTAAGTTGACAAGCAGATCCTACCCAATTTATATATCACTTTCGAGTTTTTGTCAAAAGCTGCGTAAACAGAATTTAATTAAACTACATTCTCTTGCCTAATAATTTCAGATGACCTAAAAATACCAGTCGGGAGATTCTTGTAGATTAAGTTTCATGTTGTTACACAAATAAAGATTTTTCCAATCTTTCATCACAAACGCTTTTGACTCCTTTATTCTAAAGCTTTTAATTAGATGCTAGACGACAACAGTTATGATTTTCAATTACCACAGAAAATTGCCCATCCAAATAAGGCACTTCCAAATTGTCTTAATTTTAAAAATATCATTTAAAAATTGTTGAATGGAAGATGAAATTTGTTTTCATTTTATACCATTTGGTATTCTATGACAAGGTTCATTGTACTTTACAGAAGACGATGTAAATTATAGATAAAGCTCATTATTTTAGCGACTAAAAAATAATAATCATTTTCATTCTTTGGTTTTTATCATACAAGCATTTATTTAAATAGTAAAGTGTAATGTTTACTTTGAACTAAGGCGAAACAACCTCACTTTTAAATCAGAAAGATTGGTTCAGTGAATAGTTCTCTTCTCGGCGAATTCATTTTCAAAGCTGTACAATCACAAATATATGTATACTTATTTTTCAGGATGATAATAATTACAATAATGATAATAAACTTCTGTTAGACATGGTAACAGTGAGGTAGAATAAACAAAGATATTTAAAAAATTTTAACTAGGGAAACTAACAATCATGTGATTGTTGAGGACTTAAATATTCATTATAAAGAAAGATCGGAAAATTATCACTGAGAAAAAATGGCTCAGCAGGATAAGATAAAATGTTGCGATTGAGATGAAATGTAATCAGGAGAAGCATAGAAACATAAATAAACAAGTTGGAGGTAGAAGGTTTAAGGAGAAGATGGAAGGGGAAGTAGGTGTTTGTAAAGGAAGAAGAGAGTGAAGAAAAAAAATCATGAGACGTTATGACCATGGTAGAAGAGTTTGTACCAATCTATTTTGTACACACAATTCTGACCTTCCTAGATGTATGGCTATTGCTTCAGAAGATGAGATATAACTGCCTTTGGGAGACTTATACTTATCTTGTAGATGACTCTGAATGCAGAGTTCATCTTGATTGTATGACCTGCATTCACAAGGTGTTCAACTATTTAACTTCTTATTGAGCTGTTGTCTCCTCTTTTTAGCCGCACCGGGTAATGTTCTTGAATCCAATTTAAATTATTCTAAGGTAAAATTTTCAATAAAACATGATGAATGCGGTACACAGAGTTAAACTATGTAATGATTATTTAACCATATTATATCCTCATCCTTTATATACTGTTTATATCAGCTTCAAGGTTAAGAAAGATAGAAAACAAAGTACATTTCTGACAAATTCTTACCAAATTTCGTGTTTTCAAGTCAGAATATATAACAAAATACAATTGTCATTATTCACATTTTAATGAACGAGTACTCAGGCGGCGGACAACCAAACGTATTTTAATACATTACAGAATGTCTTGGTTAAATCTGAGAACCATACGGTGAATACTTCATTTGCAAAATATCCATCAATTGTCTTAAACTTTGTTATTTCTTCGCTTCTATATCAATCATTCTGTCGCCAAGCATTCCACATTCGACTAATAATATATACTAATTAAATCTGTCGATATCAGTAGTACACACCACATTATTACTGATATTATAGTAAACGAGCACTCAGATGGGGAAGGTCAATTTATTGTTTAATACACAGCTACGTGATGGTTTAGCAGAATGCGAAAATCATACATTTTGTTTACTCTGAAGAATTCACGAAATGTAAGAAATACAATTTTTCTACTCATCGAGATATAACAAAAAATATATTTATTTATTATCATGCATCAGATACTTCATTTTTACATCTTTGAACTATCTCCTACAAGCTTCATTGTTCCTTTATTTCTGTTGTTGATCGCTTTCAATTTCCTTCCCTCTTCTATTCATTTCAACTTCCTTAAACTTTTGCTCGTAAACTCTTCACACCCTCGGCCGTATCAAGGCATTTGGGGGTTGAATGAAATTTGAATAAACCGTTAAATCTCATTAGCGGTTGTAATAAATGGTTAAATGATTGTACAACTACCTATGGGATATTGAATAGTAGCAGATAATAAAAGCTGATAGTTCAAACAGATTAGAGATAACTTTTAAAAAAATATATTTACTATTTCCATGCATGATAAATATTATTTCTGATGTATTTCGTATAGATCAAACATTTCATGTAATTTATAATTTGTCTCCACTGAGCAGAGCATTTGGCAATAATGTTGTAAAGCTTTTCATGTTGTAGTTAGAAAATAAGAAAGATATTTGTTATGTCAAATAATATAAAACATAATAAGTTTTCAAACCAATTATATAATATACCAGTAGTTCTGAAACTTAGTAAAATAGATATTCTCAAATAATTTTTTAACTCATCATGAATGATTCATTGGAAAAGTCAAACTACCACCAATAAAACACTGATGACTATGTATTCTAGTCTTATGGGGAGTTTCAGTCGGTTTTTGCTATTCATCACATGACCCAACATGGAATATGTGTGTGTGTTCAGGTTACTGCATCCTCCATCCACACAGTGAGAGAGGGAATAATTTATGAGGTGAAATATAGAACAAATTGAACTTCTCCACCGTGGTGGATTTTCCGCCATGTCATCTAATGTATCCAGCCCTAAATTACGACTATTTTGCGTCCCATCAATCGGAAGTTTTAAATAGTTCAATATGTATCAGACTATGAATAAATAATTTCATTGCATAATGTCCTCGTCTGCTCACCTTTTAGTTTTAACCTGCCTACTTTAACAGTGGATAGTATTGCATATCAAGTTGACCTATGGTTGAATATGTATGATATATATCCTAATTACCTCAGTTACTGAACATTTGTGATTTGAATATTAAACTAAGGATTACTCACTATATACTTTCACGATATAGAAGCAACGTGTCGAGAACCCTTCCTTCCAAATGCTTAGAACCTAAGCATGTCTTCTACTCTCATATGCCATTTTTCACAGTTGTAGAGTAATACGGAAAGAATTAATGTGCAGTATATCTATCTTTAAACACTGACTGATCCACCTTTGGCGCACACATCAAGGCTGATAAAACTGTTGAATGTAGTTTACAATAGCACCAAATAACGGTTATAACAAGTCGGTAATAATTTTTGAGACACTATCTTCATTTCAATGTATGCTTTTGGAATCTCTTATCGATCACATTTAAATATCAACTAAACATCGAAATAAATTGTATTCTTGGGGAATTAGAGCAATTTATCAAACTAACTTATCTATGAATTTCTGTGATGGATGATCAAATAATAAAGCTTTTTTTAATAAACAATAAGTCTCTAATCTTGATTATCGTCTATATATATATGACCTACCTTCAATAAGCGGTACGATGACTGTGTTTTATAGACTAGACAATAAGATTTTTTTTATTGCGGTCAACTGAGATAAGCTCATGAACAAGTTAACAGAAAATCTGCATAAAAGAAAGAATCTATGGTCGAATAAAAAAACAACCGGATGTAAACAAACATCACACACCCAAACCCAGTCCATAAATCCATTGAAAATATTATTAAACAAACATTACCCTAACCTTTAATATTTTTATTTCAGTAATAAAGTGGTTAGTTACCTTTTTTGTTTATCTCTTCTCTAGACATTTTTTTTCAAATTTCTTACTGTTCACCAACGAAAATTATTATTGTCACATCATCATCATCGTCATCACCATCATCATTAGTAGCATGTAGTTCAAATAAACAAAGCATTTACTATTCATTTTGGTTGCCTACATAAGATATCAACAGATGGTGTATGTTTTCAAACTATTGACTGACCACCCAATAAGACAAAGGCGAAATTGGTCAGAATAACGATAATAATAATTACACAAACAACATTTAAAAACACATATTTTAGTTTACGGTTTACCTGTTTAGAATTTTCCGTCTATCCACAAATACACAAATGTGATTAGCTGAAACAAGAAAATGAATGAATCTATACCAACCATCCCTTGAACTAATCTCCAATAGAATTGTCAAATAATTTAGGACAAGTAAGCAAGAAAAAATTAAAAAAAAATTTCTTAACATTTAGCTTATAAGCACTAAATGAAATTTCTGTGTCATAAAGAGTTTGGTGTATAATTGCATCCCGGTCTGTATGTATGTAATGTTAGTCCGTTGGTTTGTAGACAAATCTATATGAACACTGAAATATATGTGCGTATACATAAGTGTGTGTGTGTGTGTGTGTAGAAATATGGTGTATGAACTAATCAACACACTCATTTTAGAACAATAAAAAATAAATAAAAATTGTTTTCTCCATTTCTACCACATTTACGTGTATGGGCATATTTTACGCTAGATCTAAGCTTAAGTTTACGCTTACAGTACTATATATTAATTAAATGTATATACAAATAATCCCTATGCTTAAATGAATACTAACAATATTTAATATGTATTTTAAGCCTCTATCAATACAAAAATGCAAACATTTGATAGTATTTATATTATTATCTTTATTATTTCAACCAATCTTACAATCAATGTTATTTTTTAATTCAAATGTATCTTATGTAACTGGTCGGATTGTAAATAAACCATATACATTTAATTATCAATTCAATAAATTCTTTTCTAGTAGTATAAAGTCAAGTACTATATTCTATCAACCTTTAATAATTCCATTTATTTCAAAATTGGATTATAATAGTGAATTGAAACGAAGACAAATAAGAAGTATACCAATTAGATCATTCATTACGTCAAATAAATGTCCACAAGTAAGTTTTAACTGAATTGATTAAAACTATTTAAATTAACTAGTGGTTGGTAGGTTTTTTGTGAAAATTTAGATTTAAAAATGATGATTGGCTTTGTGCTAAGAATTCAATTGTGTTTATGAATTAAAATGTCTAGGATTGAATCCAGCTCCACAAATGGACTCCTTACATAATTAGTTATTGACTAATATTATATTAAAATTCACCTCACTAATAAAATCAAAGATTTGAGATTTAAAAATGATAAAAAGTTTGGACTAGTCTAGAATGATAAATCTCTCAGAATGTATTATATCAATTATAGTTTACATTATTCAATAGTAATAATCTTTTATTTGAGCATAAAGGGATGTAGTTTGTTGGTATTTTCGATTGGCTGGCTGATATATTAGCTAAATTTCTTGATTCACAGTTGTTACTTACATTATATTCTGTAAATTCAACTCATTTTTTATGTTCTGTAGGAAAGATTACATTCAAATCATTTGTAATGTATAGTCATTATGGATTTACTAAAAAGGGTTGAGTCTTGATGTGCTTATCACTTCACCGATTATTGTTAAAATGTGGAACGATGGCTGATTGGTTAAAACATTTATCGTCCAAGCAACAAATATCATGTCCGAAATCCACTCCATTAATTTTGATCACGTCACTTGGGTAGCATCATTAGCATTCACTCATAATGTGTGGTCCAAATAGAATAAATGAACGAGGTACTAGAATATATGATAAAGGATGAAACTATAATTACCATATTCAACCTTTTAAAAAACGAAATAATGACAATCTACAATATTTAAACAGGATTTCATTAAAATAATCGGTTTATAAGTTGACGTTTAAATCTGAAATATTTAATCCAGTTATATTAATAACTCTGTCGTTTCAGTAATCAAATTGAGACATCGAGCTATGTTGACATTTGATTCGAAAAAAAGTTATTGTATTTCTCTCAATTCAGAAATGTAGGATGAGAACTATGAAGTCTGATTACCGGGGAATTTCATTTATTTCACATGATATTTTCCATTGCTAATAAGCTTTAGTTAGAAAACACAGATTGTAATTAAACTCATTAATTGTTGTATTAATGTTTGTAATTCTTCATGATCTTCTTTTAGAATTTAACCTATAAATTAAAAGGAGTAATGGTTAGCGTTTTTTCATCGCGTTAGTTTTCTACGGGATGGGGTCGCTAACCCCTTGTCCAACCCTCCTCTTTATCCGGGCTTGGGACTGGCAGTAGCCTCAGAGGGGCTCCAGGCGGAGTTAAAAAAAGTAATAGGATATACATTAACATTTACTATTCCCCCAATAAACTCATTTGTCAGACTGATTAAACCGCTCATAATATAAAAAAATCATTAGTTTTTTTTAGTAAGGATATTAAACTTAATCTAATCATATAGAAATACCTAGTGTCAGCACGTACATTGTTTGGAATAAGTATTAAAACCTAAATGGCTGTTTGTATTAAATATATAGGAAAGAAATTATGCTAATTTTCTTTTACTTGGAATAGAAAATGAACTTCTTTAATCAGATGAACGTCACACATACATTAGTTTAAAATAACTAAATTAGTTTGAATATTTAGTTTTCCCAACTAATAAGTTGACGATTGTTCTATTTAAGTAATATACTGGGTTACTCATTATTTAGATTTTATTCAGTTAGTAAAAATATCTAAGTATTTTTCCGCTAAAAATGTTTTCTTTAATACAATAACAACAAATAACCTTTTCAAAAAGGGGTTTTGTGAATATTATAGTAATTTAATAGTTGAGTTCATGAGTCATTTGAAGGTAAACCACCACGGAAAACCTGGAAGCACTGAACAGCCATTTCATCCCAGTGTGGGACTCTTCAGCAGTGCGCACTCACAATCAAACAAATGAATGCTGAATATAAATTCAATATCAGCAGATAAGATGAAAATACAATAATGAATTAAACATAAAATGGCATGAAGTATTCTAAAATTACTATCACTTAACAATTTTCAAGTGATCTTTAAGAAAACATATTCTGTAATATACAAGTACAAACATTGATTCTACTGAAATGATCTGAAATAATTTGTATTGATTGCTTGTGAGTGTCATATGCGTTAGCAACAAAATAAACAGATCTTACAGACAATAGGAAAATATATGACTAACTTTAAAAGAATAATAACAATAAATGGTACTGACAACTAACCAGATGATAGGAAAATAAATTTATGTAGATTATTAGTATTTTTTTGTTGAGATCATGAACCAATTGATGTTAGATCACTATTAAAAACCTGGAAGCACTAGACTGCCATTTAGTCCATGTGCTCACTAGTGACTAACTTCGTGAGGGAATTCCGAGAATTCTAGTGAGAAGCCGTGACCAGTGGAGCTAATCCGTGTCGGGTAGAGACAGGTATCTACCTCAGTACAATGGAAGATGGTCGCTCAATTTCGTGAATTGATTGAAGTTAGACATTAAGACCGTTGGATTCCGACCAGCTCAGTGGTCTAGAGGTTAAGTGTTTGCGTGCGAGATTGAAGGCCCTGGATTTGAATCTTGTGAGCGGGATGGTGGATGTGCACTGCTGAGGAGTCTCATGACAGGACGAAATGGCCGTCCAGTTCTCCCAGGTTTTCAATAGTAGTTTAACATCAATCATTTCATGATACCAATCAAAAAATTTCAAAAATAATTAACAAATATTTGTTAATTTTTTTTACTGTTCAACTGTGATAGTTGAAAACCAAAGCTATTGTCAAATGATAGGGACTTCGATTTTCACGGTGTTTGTGCATACATTTTGAAAATGAAGCAGGTAAATGAGAAACATAAATAATTGGAACGCTTGAATGAAACTGAAATAAATGTTAACTATGTTGTTCTTTATGAACATTTCGCCTTTGAGATGACTGGATATCACTTATTGTAACATTAATGCAATTATATTTTCTTCTAGATAAATCAACAAAACCTAATTCCATTGAAAATGGTACTTAGCAAATCAAGTATAATACTAATTATTATTCTTTTAAATAGATAATAAATTTATAATGTTGTTTAAGCCATTTAATACTATGACTGTTAATCACATTTATATTTCACGTTTAGAAATTTGCCTCCCTCGATAAAGTATTTGACAATGCATTAGTTAAAATTCTTTGATGACAGAAAGCATCTTTTATGTACTGATAAGTAAATGAATCCATTCATTAAAAGGAATAACTTAATCCACATAGATCATATTTCAACAAACACTTTTAAATATTATGTAAAATTACTAAAGGCATAAACTGATATTAAGTAATTTGAGAGATTAAATATTCAATGGGTTACATATATTATTCATCAAATCTAGTAACATATACCATTACGTATATTTACTCCATGATTTATGTTCACCCCTACATAAAATATGTATAAATATAAACGTAAAAAGCAAGGGTTTCATTTGTTTTCATGCCTAGAAATGACTCAAATGTACAAGAACTAATCTTCTAAAACCTATCTCATTTTTACTCCATTCTATGAAGAAAAAAAACAATGTCTGACTGTTAAGTTACTTAAATGCACTTGAGTGTGTTTTAATCAGTAGGTAGATCGATATATGTATTTTTTTGATCTAGCATAAATCAATGTTACCTGGGAAACATGAACTTTTCTTATTTACTACAACTAAAATCTAGGACATTACTTTGTAGTTAGTAAAACACTAACATCAATTAATAATTCCTTAGTGACTCAAAGAATCTGTAAACAATGTGTATAAAATAAAAATAAACTTATTTCCTAACCCTAAAGCATACAATCAACACATTACAATTAATCAAATAAATAATATCTAATATTAAGTACTCACTAAAAGTTTATTTAAACAACTTAGGCTAAATAGAAATGCGTTACGATGAATATGGTATGAAAATAACTCGGTATATCATAACATTATTATATATAAAGACAATTTCAAACAATAATTAACATCAAAATGGAGTTAATTAAAGCCAAAAGAATAAATGTAATAACAAATTTTCATAAGTTTATTGGTTAACTCTAGGCTTCTATGTAATATTTCATTCAGTTTTAAGTTCATAGGTCGAATCCATCCATTTCACAGTTTGTTAACGTTTCCACTAAGATTTACGTCCAGTTTGAATTGATTTTTAAAAAAAATCTTGAACGTATTTTTAGATTGATAATTTTGATGATCCAATAATTTTTTTCATAAAATCAGAATTAAAATACGTAAAATTGGACTAGTTTTATGTATACTTCAGTTGATTGATCGATCACTGCTCAGATTATATGAGAAAAACAATGTACTTTGTTACAACAATTTATTGTATGTCTATTTTTTTTAGATGCTTTTTTGACATAAATAACATCTACAGACACTACTATTTGTTTTATTCAAAACAAATACACATTCTGAAAGCTACATTGTTCTACACAACATCAAAATAAAGTATCGAAATTGTTTACTATGAATCATTTGTTTGTTACTAGATATTCAACGAATTCATTTAACAACTTAAATACTTTTCAAGACTGAAATGGTTCTCTAAAAATATCATCTTATATTTTTGATGCTATTATCAATGTTGTAAGTGTTTAACAGAGACTTAAGTGAATTTCTGGTTTTTCCTTCTACTTTACTACATTTTATTATAAGGCTTCTATTAGCAAGGTAAGTGACTTCATAGGATTTAGCTATTACGGAAATGATATGATTTATTTGAAGGTGATAAAAAACAAGTAGTACCGTAAAAAAATGGGTATAATCAATGATGCTAATGAATTTATTCAATAGAATATTTTATTACATATACATTATGTAACTTGATTCGTGCAAAAATTACAACTCTAAGAATAATATAGGTATCAGTGCCAAGATTTAGCTTGATAGTTTCAAATAAATTGAGCATTAAGTAGGGAATTAATAATAAACACATTTTTGTTATATCCCAATGTGTAGAGAATCTGTATTTTTGACGTTTCGTAAC